TGTGTGTGTGTGTGTGTGTGTGTGTACAAGAGTGCCTTTGCCACACGAATATAACTTATTGCTAACATCTATTGTTTGCTGTAAGTATAAACCTGTCGTAAAAATAAATGCTGAAGTGCTTAGATACGACTGGCTATCAACTTACAAATCACAGGAAAGATCCTACTATTGTTGACAAAAGACAGGCCAAATATTGATTGTTGTCAGATCGCAAAAGAAAGCATAAATTTCGGATTGTGAGGCGAAACATAGACATCTGTCTTCACAGACATGTATTCACAGACATGAGTCTTCACAGACCACAGACGGTCGATAAAGTGTATATAAGAAAAACACTAGTAAAATTTCGTAGAGTATACCTACCTGCTGGTAAACTAGCATCCTGACCAGCCTGGCCAGTGCCGAGATTCAGGTTCCGCAACCCGGTAAGCTTTGGCATGATGCATAAAAAGATCTTCTGGAAAATAATCTATATTCTATTCTGTAACTACATCCGACGCGGGGAGCTCGGGCTCATGAGCTTATAGATACCCTTTTATGTGCGATGGTGTATCCTAGCCTGATTGCAGATGCTTACGACTTATGGAATAGGAGTGGCAGTTTGAATATTTTTGTGTTAAAATACATACACACATATGCGATAGATTTCTAGTCCATTCAATTTTCAATCGGATAACGACTTCAATATCGCGTCTAATTTACGTTCATAAAACGCCGGTTTCATACTTTTCCAGATTGTTTCTACCCAACAAAACAAAAAAGTGGAGAAGCGGCGCCGCCCAACTCTCAGAGTCTCAGACTCTCTTAGGCTCTCAAGTCTCAGGCTCTCAAGTCTCAGGCTCTCAAGTCTCATCAGCTGTGAAGCCTGTGACACGCACCTATACCTAAGGACATTCTATCCTAACGTCGCACCTGCGGTTAGGACACCTGGACTTCTGACAATTTCTAGAAGAGCACAGTAGGACATCGGACGAGGCTGCCCTCAGTGCCCTGACTAGTGACTAGTCATGATATTCATCTATGTTTGACAGACCAATAGTAACCTCACACTCTGCTACAGATGAGTTTAGGGTATGAACTTAATAATCTCTAAACCATATAAATATTTACACAGAATGGTTGATACCCCATGCGGCTCCGCATTACATGACAATACCGGTCCATTTTGCGACTTTTACGACCAGTGTGGTCAAACCCGAGTAACAACGCTTAGTAAAAAGTGTTAAGTCTGAAATGAGTAAATTCAGTCAGAAGTAACATTAGGAATGGCGCCCCTGCTGTATTTATTAATCACATTTATATGTGAAACGAGATTTTCTCTACCATCGGTTTATTTGATAGAAAATTCAAAATGTGTTTCGACAGAACTGTGCCTTCAGTTATCCCCTTTCTATAACCTAACTTGGTTATACGCTTCAATGTATCGATGAACAATACCTATTGGTGCAAATTATTACATTTCGGCTAACGCTTGTATTCGCATCGACGCTCACACATCACCAAGATAAACCCTAAAACGAGACTAAATGCTACAACTCAAAGTATCGATAGACATATAAAATCCCTGGTTGCAGCATTGTTTCTGGGTATTGCCTCTTTCCGCGCTTTTGGCTTCCATGGCTTCAGCTGGCGACACCCCCGCAACCGACTGGTGCTGTTCAAAAAAAATTCATCACATCCACGGCAACATATGGCTTGAACATTATTGCCTGGGATCCGTCTATATGGAAGGATGCGTTGGACCCCCTGTTCAAGCGCGTTAACTCAGCACTCGTCCAAGCAGCGAACTTCTGTGACATCTTAACTATCACAGCTTGGGTAGTGATATTTCTACCATCGGCCAACGAGATTTTAACATCTGTGGCCATGGATTCACACTTTGAAATCTTCTCATCTGCTAAGATAAGGTGAGTAGTTTGCGTCCAACGTTCGATATCTTTCATTAATGCAAAGCGATCGGATATGCAAGAAATCTCTGAACCGGGATCAATCAGTGCAAAGACTTTATTTCCATAGCAATATACAGAGATTATTACACCCTTATATATAGAGTCGTTGTATTGTCTTTTTAACGATTGTACCCGGTAGTACTTTCCGTCCAACTTAATATTGGGCTTCTTGTCGCAAGATCTAACGAGATAGCCATTGGTCTTCTTGAATTTATCGCATTTCGCGAGATAATGCGCACAAGATTGTGAGTGCTGTCCGTTCCAGTAACCGTTGGGTGTCAACTGATACATATCGTACCCACATTTTTCATCTGCACATTTCTTAATCTACGTATACGGGCGTTATTTTGACTCGGTACGCACCTTCTTAACAGGGAAAAATCACGAGGATGTAAACTTCGAT